TCTTTTCCAGCCAGTCTTGAAGCATATTTGGTATACCATAAAGCTACATTAAATCCCATGGAAATTAATTCAAAAACAGCATCCTGCTGGGCACTAGAATTATAAACATGGGTGTCATTAAGTTCTGTCAATTACTGAGACATTGCTATATGAAGCCCACTGTACATCCAACTCAAAATTATAAAACAACTATATGCTAACTGGAAAAATGAAGAAAACAGTCCTGTGTTTAATGACTAAAAATAATGACCATAATAGTAAACATGAGAACAGTAGATTCTCAAAGGTTACTGTACATAGACTAGCTTTAAAAATACAAATTATGGGACTCAACTCCAGAGAATCACAAAGTCTGGGAGGGGCCCAGAATCTATATTTTTAGTAAGTACCCAGTTGATTCTGGAGTGGGTGGTTCTTATATCAATTTAAAAACAATGGAATTCAGAGAGAGATTGTTTCAGGCAAGAATGATTAAAGGAGGTTTAATGGTAGAGACAGTCTCTAATTGTGCCTTGAAAGATGGCTAGAGGGGAGGCAGAAGGTTACCCCAGGTTAAGGGAATGATGCTGTTAAAGCACAAGAAAAGCATAAACATTTTTTCTGAGAGTAGTGACCCAACTAGTGTGATGGAGCACACGGTTTGTAAAAAGAAATCGAGGTCAAAAAGCCAAGCTGAGGTGAAACGGGTAGACTTTGAATGCCAAGCCAATCATTATGTGTACCACAAAGAAAAAAGGTCTTACAAACATCTTATTTGTTTCCTTCAGATTCTATTACTAAACATGACACCAAGAGGATGGCAAGAGCTTATTTAGCAAATACGGTAATACTAATTTTTAATCATTCCTGCTTTGATAAGAACTTGAATTTATATATTACTCATTTATCTTAAGTGATGAAGAAAACAGAACATCCTTATTTTATACACATAATACTAAGATACAGAAAAATTACCCAAAGGGAAGAAACTAGAATCATGGTCCCACTTTGTGTTTTTTAAAGATTTATTTATTTGAGACGGTACATGCATGCGCACAAGCACTTGTGGGGGGAGGGGCAGAGGAGAGGGACACAGAATCTCAAGCAGACTCCCCGCTGAGCACGGAGCCCAATGCAGGGCTTGATCTCATGACGCTGAGATCACAACCTGAGCCAAAATCAAGAGCTGGATGCTTAACTGACTGAGCTACCCAGGTGCCCCTCCACTCTGTATTTTTTATTTAACTGCTGCCTCATAAAAGGAATGGAAACAGGGAAACTTTTTGGATTAAAAAAAAGGTGGGGTGTTATAAAACATTCACAATTCAAAAATAACTTACATACTACCCTGTTTAATATGTTATAATACACAAACATGTGAGTTATGTATTTTTTTAGTGGAATGCTTCACAAATCCATGTGTCATCCTGCCAAAGGGGCCACGCTAATCTCTACACTTTCTGATTTTAGTGTATGTGCTGCCAAAGCACTAAACAAACCTCTTAAGAACAGTCTTAGCCCATCGATACCCCACCGGTAAAAGCTGTAATGCACAGTTTAAAAGTTTATTCTCGGGGCGCCCAGGTGGCTCAGTCAGTTAAGCATCTGCCTTCGGCTCAGGTCATGATCCCGGGGTCCTGGGATCAAGTCCCACATCGGGCTCCCTGCTCAGCCTCCTTCTCCCCCTGCTTCTGCTACACTCTGGCGCTCTCTCTGAAAAATAAATAAAATCTTAAAAAAAAAAAGTTTATTCTTTTCAGCATTGAGAACTTTCAAATGAATTATATCTGGTAATCTGGTAGGCAATCTAATTTATAAGTTTACCTTTAAATAAGATAGTTTGCTAATTTATATAAAGTCTCATGAATAACTGTCTCCCTTTTTAGCCTTCATTTATTTCAGTCTGCCTTGTTCCCAAACACTCCATTTCTATTGTACCACATCTTAGTAGTCAGAATGTATATAGTTGAGAAAGCATTTTTCAGAACAGATATATTCACAGCACACTTTCTACTGAATAAACAGCAATCAAAGATAAAGCAACTTAAAAATCTCAGATGTAGAGAATATCGGGTATCATTCCTTAAGGCCTTCATCATCTAATTTTTCACTGTCTCATAAAACTCGCTGAAAATAGCTGTCACAAGTAATCAAAATTTGGCATGGTGGGGAAAAGTGCCAAATGTATGTAATACAAAACACTTTAGAATCTGCCAAAGTTTCATGATGTCATAACGATAGAGGTTTGACTCTAAAAAACATCTTTTTGAAGAAAAACATTCCTTAATTTTAGATGAAGTACAAAGGGGTCACATAAAAAAAAAAGAAAGAATAGAAAAAAAAACATAAAACGAGAACTTGGAAAACCTTAGTATCCCAGAATATTAAAATTTGGAAAGAATCCATAGTCCTCAACTTCCTACCAAATTTATGAATTCTACATACAATATTGCCAAGGAAGGAAGGAAACTAACAATTTACTAAATATTATACACCTGGCATTATTTGAGTCACTTACCATAAATCTGCCTATTTTGTTCCTCACAAAAGCCGTATATCTGTAACCCCAACCCAGAGTTGAAGCAGGTGTTCACAGAGAGACCTGAGATTGCACCTGAATATATAGGAATCCAAAGTCCACACTCCCTTCCACTGCAATGCCTGCCCTGGGTCTCTCAGCAAGCTCCACTTCCTTCCCTTCTGACTTTATACAACTTTCTACAGCAAATGGGAGATCCGGATACATGGTCATTTAAATAATACAATGGTGTTAAAAAAAAAAAAAAGTTCAATAAAAGTTTAGCACCATTATGATGTTTCCTGTTGTAACTAGACCTCTTCTGATTAGTTTCAAGTGAGTGATAAGAAAGTTCTGAGGCGAAATTTTTTAAAAGAGCAGAAACAGTGACGAGAAATTAGGAAGAAAATAAAACTATGCTCAAGAGAGTATGGAGCTGGGGTGGAACTGGGGACAAAGAGAAAGAAAGAGACTGACCAAAGACATCTGAACTATCCATCATAAAAGAAAACTAGGTGAAAAGCAAACTTTGGCTCTCCTTGAAGGCAGGCAAAGACTAAAAGATAGATTTGGATTCCAAATTTCCAAACTGTTCTTTGCATATAATTAATAAAGCCAAGAGTGTTCAAGTCTGGTTAATATTTGTATTGATTATCTCAGAAACAGATTTGGTCCAGGAGAAATAAATTGTATTTTTACTTAACAGAATGCATTAAGAGTTTAGGTCAAATGTTTTTAACTAATTACCTGATAAGAGAAAATGCTGATCAGATCTATATTCTATTTCTTCAAAAACAGAGGCTATGGGTTAACCACTGGCTAAATAGTTACAAAAATGGCTTCCGTTTTGTACTGTTAGCTTGCCTACCTTGGAACCTGTCCTTGTAATGTATCAGTCCATTTGAAATTTTGAATATATCGTAACTTGCTTTCTTGGGTAGATTCATCCAATGAATTTATGAAACCTGTAAAAAGGTACAGCATTTCAGTTTTAGAAGAAATATCAAGTATTATGTTTAGAAATTTTTTCAGATAATGACTTATCCAGATATCTGAAGAAAACTCCTAGCCCCTCTCCCCGCCCCATACCTCACACCTTCTTCTAAGGTAACATAATATGAAATATGTACACATTTAATTTTCAAAATGTTAGAGGGACCAATACCATCCTGACATTCTCAACGTTTCTGAAACTCAAGTATATCAAAGAATACAGACTAGAAGACTAACCTATTCAAATTTGTAAAGTCTAAGAATTAAATGTGAATTTCTGCAAAGTTGTTTTTTAAAAACTCTGAAGTTCCCATAAATAACTAACCTTGTAACAGTGAAAAATAGGAATCTGATGCATTCTTCATCATTTCTGGATTACAGCTCAAATCAGTGAAGAGTTCAAGCAGTCGTGCTCTGGATGATCTCAAGTCACTTATATGAGACAGAAACAGTAAAATTAAATAAGCTGCATTATGATGAATCTATGTAAAAGTGGCTTAAAGTTTCAACTGTAAAAAGCTTTAAAATAATGCACACCCATACACTTCCTCTAAGGTATTACTAAGAGTATACAGGAATAAACTTAATTAGGACTAACACTGGGGTAAGTGAAATTTCTAATAACAACTGTTTTACAAGTTGTACTAAAATAAACTCAGCCCAACCGAAGAGGCAAATCATGGATACAATTGTGTAATAAAAATATACAGCAAGTTTCAATTTAAAAAAAAATCAAATAAACACAAGCATGCAAAATGGGAGAAAGAAATTAAGAATGAGTAAATTAAACAGACCAGTTCACAATAAAAGTTTTCTGAAAAATGGAAATTTAACATGCTTATGCAGTTTTAGTATCTCCTTAAAATTTCAAAACGTGACATTATATCAATATATCTTATTAAGTAGGAAACCCTATTTTTAAATTGCATCCTATAATTCAACATACACATCAAGAGTGTGTGAGAACATGTGGCCACTACTCATTTTAAAACTGCTCCCTGGTCTCCATTCTCCTTTACTTCTCTGCAGCAATAAATGTTGCAGATCCACCATTTCCTTCTTGAAAGTCTCTTCTCCCTGTATTCCACTAACACTAAATCTTCCTGGATATCCTCTTATCTCTAAAAGTTCCTAAAAATGTTTATAGTCTTTGGCTTTCCGCCTTTCTCTCTTTTGAGGTCTTAACAATTTTACATACAATCTGAGATCTACATCATCAGCTCTACCTTGGCCGGGTTCCAATTCCACATCTAATTTCAGAAGGTAACTTGCTTAATGAGGGTTCAGAAATCATACCGCAGGGACAATGACTGAAGACACTTGCATATAAATGACTAATGAAAGACTACACTTCAATTGTTAGCACCGAGAGACTAGGGACTGTATATCCAGAACTTAGTAGATGCCTAGGACAAAGCACATACTTTGCTGAATAAAAGAATACTAACATTTCAAATGTTTTAAGATGTACAAGGCCTATAATGCAGCAGTGATGTTTAGAAGAAAGCTCAGACCTAATTTTAAATGGTCTGAATGGAATGTTTACTCACTGGTACAAGTTCCATGAAGGCTTATTTCCAAGAAAGTACATACCAACAATTACATACAGATGACCAGAATGGGATGGACTACCTTATGAATTTGTCATTGTTGAGTTATTTAACTAGAAGCTAGGCAAGAGTAATTCCCGGACCAGAAACAAGGCTGAATTCTTAAGGCCTATCCTAGGCTCAAATAAGTTGCTATTTCTGGGTAGGCACTCAATCACCTGCAACCCAACTGTATAAAGTTATATTCACCTTAAAATTACGGAATTTCAGGAAAAATGTACCTTAGAAATATCTATTTTAGACTGTTCATTTTATAAATGAAAAATAAGACCCAAAGAAGTTAAGAGACTTGCCCAATGCTATGGATATAACAATTAAGCCGGGACCAATCTCTACGAGTGTAAGATCAGGGGTTAGCAAACAAACCTATAATTTGTTTTTGTATAGCTCTCAGCTTGTTTTTGTAAAATGAACAAAGAAGAATATGCAACAGCAGCTGTATATAGCCCCACAAAGCCTAAAATGTTTACTACTCAGCTCTTCACAGAGAAAGTCTGATGACCTCTGATCTAGATAAATAAGCCAGCTTTCCTATCTTTTGCTCGTTACTTCTTTCCACAAAAAGCAGCAACACTCTCAGTTTTCCATTACTGGTACCATCAAGGTCTTGATCATCTAAATCATCTATTCATATAGACTGAATCCTTTTCAACTTCCCAGAGCAAATTAGACACTCTGACCAGTTGACTCCTCTTTTGAAATATCTCTTGCATATATCTCTTTTGTTCCAAACTGCTCTACTCACTACCCCTAGAATAAAGGTTTTCCTGACAGAAATGATTTTCTTCTATCACTTCTTAAAATCTAAATCAAGTATTAGCAAACCTTTTCCATAAAGAGCCTGAAAAATATTTTAGGTTTTGTGGTTCAGAAAGTCTCCACTGATACTACTCCACTCTGCTGCTGTACAGGAAAGCAGCCAAAGGCAGCCAGAGACAATATATAAATAAATGGGGTGAGGTGACATGGCTGTGTTCTAATAAAACTTTATAAAAATAGGCAGTGGGCCAAATCTGCAGGACAGTTTGCCAACTCCTGAACTGAGCCATACAATTTATTTAAACTCCAACTCAAGTCCTTTCTCCTATATGAACACTCTAAAGCCTATTCCAGATTACTGAGATCTCTCCCTGCTCACAACTCCATGAATTTACTATCTGGCTAATTAACAATATCCATATACAGCTTTGTGAAGTCTCTTGTACTGTTGTAATATATAGCTTAACTCTTATTGTGATTGTTTTAGCCTCTCTGGGACTCACTGATCTAAAATTAAGGACTGCAGCCTAGATGACTGCCAAACTTTATAATCTATTATTTCACTCTTCACAGGTCATTTGTAAGTTTACAAAGAGTCTAAGGGTAGGGCAAGGTGTTACTTCTGTATTTCCCATGAAATCTAAAATAGTACCTTGTATCCAAAAGTGGCTCAATCAGTACTTGCTGAGTTTGACTAAAACTAACCTGCAAATTTTTGAAGCAGCAGGGCCAGCGGCTACACCATAGTAGTTAAAAGCGACAGGAGCTGTGGCTTTTAACGGGTTCCTATGAAACCAGTGTGTCATTTTCTCCAGCTGTTTCCTATAAACAAAAAAGGAAACTGTATAAAAAATAAAAATAAAACATTTAATAATGTAAATAGTATAAAAATTAAGTTTACTAAGGATATATGTATACATTTTTAAAATATATATATGTGTGTGTGTTTGTATATATATGAGACATACACACGTACAAATAATGACCCTCATTTAAACTAAGGTTACTTGAAATAAATAGGTTTTAAATTAACTGTATTTCCAACACAGTATTGCTGATGCCAATTAACTGGTCACAGCATGTGTTTCTATAATAAATATACTTTCCACAGAACAGTAATAAAAATCAGAATTTTCATGAATAAAAAAACATGATACTCGATTAATAATTTCTATCCTATAAACCCAAAATATCTGAAAACCTATCTAAGTGAAATGCCAACTTAAAAAATAGTCCCAAGGGTGCCTGGGTGGCTCAGCTGGTTAAAGTGTACTACTCTTGGTTTCCACTCAGGTCATGATCTCAGGATCCTAAGATCCAGCCCTGAGTTGGGCTCTGCACTGAACATGGAACCTGTTTAGGATTCCCTCTCTCCCCCTGCATACAGTCTCTCTCAAATAAATAAATCAATCTTACAAAAAAAAAAAAAAGCATGTCACTTGCCTAATAGTCCTTAGGTAGAAAATGCGAATACAGGAAGGCCCAGCAGAACACTTAAATGTGGCAACTAGATTCCGGGAAATCACAGTCAAGAAAGCCTGATAAGGTTTAATTAACTTAAAGGCATTATACAATGTTGTTGATCGAATTTTCTTACTGGGGAAAGAAACAACAACCGTGGGCTGCACCGTGTAAGAAACAGAAACACCTCCTGCAGCACCTCCCTTAAAATATTCACCTATTTCCGACAAAACCGATTTGGGAGAGCACCAGATATTCAATGCACTGTATACGCAATGGAAAATTGAGCAAGTTCACTTACGGCTCAAAACATTTAACAAGTTCTTCTAAGAATATATATAATCTTCTAAACATCCATGTAAACCAACTTTATAACAAGTAAATTAATACAGCTTCTACGTGCATATAAATCAAGCCTTCTGGAGATAATGGCACACCATACACTCGATTTTGGGACAGCAAATTTTCTACCAATACCCTTTTCAGGTGGATTTCCACTTCCTGGATGAAAATGTCCACAGTTCCGTGTATCCTGGCTTCAGGAACGAAGAGGGTAAGTACTGTACTCTCCGCCCCGGCCCCATCTTGCCCCTTTCTAAGACCTGCCATTCCTGTTTTCAGGAATTCGGAGGGTGGCGAGAACAGCGACACACCCACCCGCAGGTGCAAGGGTGCCCTGAGAGCCACCAGCACCACGGTCTGGTCGAAGCTGCCACCTCCCCTGCCTCCGATTAGTGAAAGAGTTCCCCCACTCGCCAGGCCCCGGGCCCCCCACGAACCTACCTGGGAGCCACCCCCGAGTTTGGAGCGCCCACTTCCTGTTTAGCACCCAACCTCTTCCTCCCGAGCCCCGACCCCTGGAGGCGGCGCGCGGTGGCCTTGCGCAGGCGCCAAGCCTAGGAACCCCCTCATCCGAACAGGCATTTTCGTGGAAAGCCGATACTTTCCACCCGGGAGAGACGGGCCGACGACGGCAGAACAAACCCCCGTTTAGCTTGTAAGATCCCCGGTTGCCAGTGGAGACGCGGGCAAGGGGATTCGGCGAGTCTAGCTGTTAATACGATCGATTCGCAGGGCCAACATGCATTTTCTTTCGTTTGTTTCAAGGCATTAGAAGGAGACTTTTTTGGACACTATCCGGGAGTCTATGGAGACTGTAAAACGCGTGTAAAAGGGTGTGGGGGGGTGACCCTATCGCTTGGGACTCCAGGATAACGCCAGGGGTAGGGGTGTTACTGGGAAACGCCCATTCTCATGACAAACTTACCGGATTTCTCGGAAATCTGTGTAGCAGTCCTCCTAAGGGAAGAAAGGGAATGTCCGAGTCCACAAACTAGAAAGGGAGGGAGGCGGAGAGCCAGGGCTGCCGAACCAGAGCAAGGGCAACCAGGCCTGCGCTGAGCCGGGGTCACGTGGTCCGGGCCGCCATGACAGCTACCGAGGCGGCAGTACGCGCCGCTTAGGGGCGGAGGCGCCGCGTATCGCGGCCCCCTCGAAACGCTCCGTTCCTCAGCCCTGTCCTAGCTACTCTTCCCCAGTCTTTAGTCGTGAACTGCGGTCTCTTCTCCTGAGAGGAAGAGAGGACGCGGCCGGGCCTCCCAAGCCGAGGAAGAAAGCCGCAATAGCGATGGCGGCCCTCGCGGGAGCGGGGCGGCTTCAACCTAACACGGGGCGGGGCCTCGGGGCGGAGCCTCGCCGGGGCGGCCGCTTCAGAGCCGCAAAGTTTGGCTGTGGCGGCAAATGGGCTTGGGCGGCTCCTCGGCGGGTGGCGGTGGTGGCCGTAGCGGTTCCTCCTGGCCCTGTTAATGTCGGGGCCAGGCCCGGGGAGGATGGCGCCCTAGAGCCCGGCCTCGCTGGGGTAGGGGCGGGAGGGGACGGGGTGGGCACCGGCCATGTCGGAGGTGACCCGGAGTCTGCTGCAGCGCTGGGGCGCCAGTTTTAGGAGAGGCGCCGACTTCGACTCTTGGGGCCAGCTGGTGGAGGCGATAGACGAGTATCAGATGTGAGTGACTAACCGCGGGAGCGGGCCAGCCGGGCTCCAGTGGGCCGCCTCCCCCTTTCTTCTGTCGGTGTCTCTTATCTCTGTCTGCAGCCAAGGCTTCCCAGGGTGGGGCCCCCGCAGGCACTGGGGCTGGGATCGCACTGGCCCCGGACAGGCTGCCCTGGAGACGGCGGTCCGCTCGCTGGGCTTCCGCGCCCCGCTCCCTCTCCGCCGCCACAGGGCCAGTTCCATTCAACAGGTAGCTCCTCTTTCCTGGGGCGCCCGCCCTACTAGCAGGCTACCTCTGTAGTTCCTTGCCTTCTCTCCCCCGCCTCTTTCAGGTTGCTGCCGCTCAGTTTCTCTTCTAGAATCTCTGAGGGATACTTGTGTGTTCCCCGCCCACGTTCCAGGGATGAGTGGCCTTGCTCTGTATGGTGCCTTCCTCCTCCCATGTGTAGGACAGGAGGGAACTGGTGGCGCTTGAGGGGAGGGGGCGCCCCCAGGAAGCAGCGAGGACAGGGGCGTCTCACCAGCCAAGGGAAGGGTCCCCCGTGGCGCCCCTTCTCCACCCCTCTTTCTGGTGAGCCGTGTTTTCACAATTCACCTCGATTCCGTTTCGGTTTCTGGGACTGTTATTTGCTTGGCTGTGAGTCCCACCCACCCCCTCGCTCGGTTGCTTTGGGTGGAGTCCGCTCAGGATGTGAACAGAAGAGAGCACACTAAATTAATAGACCACGCACGGGAGCCACCACTCCCTGTTTGGGTCCCTCCTCCTTGTCCTGTGTCTAATGTAGAGCCGCAGGGTACTTTGTGAGTACCAGTTTCTTTGATCTTTGACCCGAAGTCCGATTTCTTATAGCCTTTCTGGCTTCCCCCAAAAAACTTCAGGGGTGTTTTTTAAATTAAAAGACAAGATTCACGTGTATATAAAACCTTGCTTAGTTTCTTGCACCTTTTACTGAAAAAATAAGAACTGCCTGCTAAAATGCTATTGTTTGCAAACTGTTGCCATTAATTACTTCTTGGTTAAAAGCAAATTATTGTTTGAGGTGTTACTGAGTATGAAACCATGTGAGTAAAATCTTTTTTTTTTTTTTTACCCCCTCAGTGTCTCCTGGAAAGAATATACAGTTGAGACTTGGAAGCTTTAAATTCTTTTTCCTTTCCCTACAATAGTTTCTTGTTTTTATCTGACCATTAAGATAATTTAAATGTGCAGATGTTTTCTACCCCCATGGTACTGACTTGTAGTTTCAAAGAGCCCTGGAAACAACCGTGCTCTGGGCCATGTTGCCAAGTATAACAAGTACTAGCGTCTGTCTTGCATCTTCACTTGATTTCCCTTGCTCCTGCAACTACTTAGTGAGAACATTACTCTCATTTTACAAAATGAGGAAACGGAAGCTCAGGTTAAACAGATTAACAGGGGTCCTAAAACTACCAATGAAATCTGGGATTTTTTTTTTTAACTCCAAATCCTGACTGCTCTACTACATAGTGCTTAAGACACTTTATGTAATGTGCCTTGTGTAAGGAAATTGGACAAATGAGAAGGTTTCCTTCGTTACCAGGGAACATATCTTAACCAGACTGTAGCCAGTTAGCACCTGTGTGTACTCATTCTTCGGGTTAACTAGAATCGCATACCCTGAAATGTAAAGCTGCCTTCACTTGTGATGCAGTGGGACTTAGCAGCTGTTGACACTCAGTAGCAGACTTCACAATGGAAAGTGAAGAATACCATGTCCAATTGAAATTACAAAGGAAAATTGAGTATGGAAGCTGTTTCGCTGGAATTTCGAGAAACATCTCAATGAGAGTAATAGACACATACAAATCTATTGTTGGACCACAGTACTAACCTTTGAACTTCATAATTCAGAGAAATTATAAAAACTGCCAGTGTCAAATCGGAGGAGTAATGATTGCTTAAATTTTGTAAACACATAGGCTACATATAAAATGAGGTTGAATTTAAAATTAATATATTCAAAAATGAAGACAAATTGTCTTTTTTTTATTGCAGTTATCTCTTTGGAAGGAAAGGCTGCGGAAAAGGAGACCATTTGGGGGCCACTAATAGTGTAAAAAAGAATGGACAGCATTTAGTGACTGGATGTTGAGAGTGAAGGAGGAAGAGTCTAGGATAATTGGCATTTCTAATTGGGTAGGCAGCAGGGACTTTATGGTCTTGCAACACAGCGAATTTATGGGAGAGGGGATATTGGGGAGGAAAGAAACAGGTTTGTACCATCACAATGTAAGAATGCTAATAGCTTAAACAATCTTGTTTTTCAACGACGACAAGAACAGGGGATGTAAAGATGTATAAGATTTGATTCCCGCCCTCAAAGCCCTGAGAGTCTTTCTAATGGAGGATTTTATTTTTTTTAAGATTTTATTTATTTATTTGACAGAGAGAGACACAGCAAGAGAGGGAACACAAGCAGGGGGAGTGGGAGAGAGAGAAGCAGGCTTCCCGCGGAGCAAGGATCCCGATGTGGGACTCGATCCCAGGACCCTGGGATCATGACCTGAGCCGAAGGCAGACGCTTAACGACTGAGCCACCCAGGCACCCTAATGGAGGATTTTAAAGTAATTGGGTTTTGCTATTACAGAAGTATGAAAAGAGTATGTGCTACCACACTGCTTGCTGTTTCTAGGAGCGTGCTTCTGCCTTAGGGCTTTTGTACTTTTTCTGGAACATTCTTCTCTCATCTGCTTGGATCACTTGGTCACCTCCTTCAGGTCTTTGTTCAGATATTATCTTCTCAGTGAGGTCCTTTCTGGCTACCTTATTTAAAATTGTGAAACCTGTTATCCACCCCAACTCCCTCTACCTCAGTCTTGCACATTCTAAATGCCCCCCTCCCAAATCCTGCTTAATTTTTTCCCATAGTATTTATCATCATCTAAAATACAATATATTGGGGCGCCTGGGTGGCTCAGTTGGTTAAGCAACTGCCTTCAGCTCAGGTCATGATCCTAGAGTCCCGGGATCAAGTCCCGCATCAGGCTCCCTGCTCAGCGAGGAGCCTGCTTCTCCCTCTGACCCTCCCCCCTCTCATGTACTCTCTCTCATTCTCGCTCTCTCAAATAAATAAACAAATCTTAAAAAAATACAATACAATACAATACAATATATTGGGGCACCTGGGTGGCTTAGTCGTTAAGTGCCTGCCTTTGGCTCAGTTCATGGTCCCAGGGTCCTGGGATCGAGCCCCACATCCAGCTCCCTGCTCGGCGGGAAGCCTGCTTCTTCCTCTCCCACTCCCCCTGCTTGTGTTCCCTCTCTCACTGTGTCTCTGTCAGATAAATAAAATCTTTAAAAAATAATAATAAAATATATTTTACATATTCATTTGGTTTATTGTCTCTCTCCCCACTTGAATGTAAACTCTGAGAGGGCAGAGTTGGAGGTGTTGTCTTATTCTTTACTATATACTTAGTGTCCTAGTGATGCTAGGCTGTTATTAAATAATTGTTTAGTAATTATATGTTGTATTCTTTTGAATGAATATGGATTCAGAAGTATGCTGTGGGAGCATTGAGTTGATATTAAAGTGCTGTTGGAAGGTTTAAACAAATATGTCAAAACTAGGATTGCTAGCCAAAATATACATGGTTAATTAAAAACAATTCCATGAAGCAGGCCACCTCTTTCAGCAACCTGGGGATATACGACCCCAAACTTCTGGTAGAATGGTATGGACTCTGTTGCTCAGAATCAGATATTTCACAGGATCATTGCTAAGGGATTAATCTAGCACATGGGTGCTCAATAAATACTTGTTAAATGAATGAGTGAGTTTGAAGACTGAGTAATACTTGCTCTTAAT